GCTCTATTATCCTGTTTTTCTGAAGCCAGTGACTTTAATCAGGGTGGTCCCTTTTTTCACCTTCCCAAGTGGGAGCAAGGCTGCTTCTTTTCTGTTTTACATGCAGTGCCATCTTCTAATATTTTGGGGGAGTCCTGCTCTTATAAGAATGCAGCTGGCCTTTTCCTTTGCTTTAATCTCAGGTCCAAAATCATGAGTCTGAATCTTGCACCCATCACTCAGTAATTGGTGTGACTTTGGGTGAGCTGTTTAACCCAAAAGTTTAAGCACTCCCAGGTGCCTAATTTTAAAAATGGATCTCTGATAGAAAATACTAAGTGAGTACCTGCTATGTCTAACTGCTAAGGTAATGTTTGGCATTGTGCATTATGACGTTTGTAGCTCCAAAATGTCCTCAGCTGCTCATGGCCATCTATATCCCAGGATCCTTCTGTCTACCACATGTCCATCTCTCTCATCAGTTCAGCTGATATTTTCTCTTCTTTAACTTTTACTGCACAGTGTCTGAGAATTAGTCTAATATCTGGTATGGCTTTTTTTCTCCTTAGATATGCTGAGTTTCAATCCAAAACACTCCATGGTGGTAATATCAACAATTCTATATTTATTCACTGTCTCTGGTCCAGAGGATCCATGATTTTGTTTCTAGACTAAATACTTGACTATCAGTTCATCTTTTTGTCAGTCCAATAAACCCACCCATTCACCATGTCATGCACACTCAGAGTCAGAGTCAAGCTGGAAGAAGCGCCAGGACATTTTGTGGTTCGTCCCACTTCAAATGTTTGTAGAGTGATTTGCAAATTTTAGTATAAATAAGTCATTGAGGATACTATCAAAAATAAATTTCACAGGGTTGAGGTGAAGTGCTTGCTTAGCATGCTTGAAGTGCTTGCCTAGCTTGCTTGAGGCACTGGGTTCAATCCTCAGCACTGGAAAAAAAAAGATTCAATTCCAGATAATTGACATAGATACTCTGTCCTCAAGTAGATGGAGTATAACTGCCCGTTCTTTTAAGTGTGGCTGTGCATAGTGACTCTGATCCAAAGCGTACAGCTTGGAAGGAGTTGAGAGGAGATTAAAGGTAGTACAGGTGTCTGATAGCCATCAGGCAGCTGTGTTAGAGTAACACCACAGCACTAAGTGGTCTTGACAGTCCTACCCTTTGTAGGAAGTAATGAGAAGGGTGCTTTATTTCTGGGTCTTCATCCCAAACTATGACCTCAATTTAATTACTGAAAAAACAATAGTAAAATCCAAATTGAGGGATATTTTGCCAAACACTTGACCTACTGCCCAAAACTATTGAGGTTATTAAAAATAAGATAGGCTTCAGAACTCTCACAGTCAAAAGTAACCTAAGGGGTACAGCATCAAGTATTGTGTGGCATCCTGAATAGACTCCTGAAAGAAGAAATAATCTATAAGAAGTGGTTCATTAATCATTCATGACATAGATGAAAGATGTTAATATGGGGAAAGTGAATGTAGGGTATCTGAGAACCCTTCATTTTATCTTCCTAACATTTCTGTAAGCTGAAATCTATTCTAAAATGAAAAGCATATTTTATTTATTTGCTCTATTGGGGTTTGAACTTAGGACCTTGTGCTTACTGGGCAAGTGCTCTACCATTTGAGCCACACCTCCAGCCGTATTGTTTTGGGTTATTTTTCAGTGCTTTTTGCAGGCTAATCTAGGACTGTGATCCTCTTACCTATTCCTCCCATGTATCTGGGATCACAGCTGTGTACCACCACATCTAGCTTATTTGTTGAGATTCAGTCTTACTAACTTTTTGCTTGAGCTGGCTTTGAACTATCATCCTCCCAACTTATACCTCGAAAAAGCTGGGGCTATAGGGGAGTACTTGCCTCTAGTTCCAAAGTTTAAAAATTAGTCCCAGGGATTGTGATTTAGGAGATGTGTTTGTATGTGTGGATTCTGATGCAGAGAACTCATAGGTTTTGCTTTGAGAATCCTGTTCTATCAGGTTCTTATCTTTGGTTGCACCCTGGACTCCTGTGTCCCATGCCAGGGACTTTGTTTTCATTAGTGGAGAGTGTAGCCTGGTCACTGTGACTTTTAAAGGTCCCTTGGGTACTTTCAAGTTACAGTCAAGCTTAAACCATACTCGCTATACCTGTGCAGATTAATATGGCAGCCACCAAAGTAAAGTATACTCCCAGCAGAGATACACTGAGAAACCTCTTTGAACATGAACTTATATATATTAATTACAAAAAGCAGGATTATAAAACAGATACAGTGTGTGGGGGTTACAAGTGGGAGGGGGAGGGTGGATGAAGGAGATTAAGGTGATGGTACATAGTTGATGGATTTCATATACTTACATGAAAGTGAACAAAGAAACCTCTTGCAATTGTTTTAAGTGGGGCAGGGAGGACGATAGGGGGACAGATGATGAGGGCAATGAAACTAATGTACAATATAAACCTAATCAGAATTGTCACTATGAATCCCTACTCTATAATGAATACATAGTAATAAAATAAAAATAAATAAAAATGTTAAAAAAGACAAAAAAACCTGAAGTGAAATAAAAATTTCACTCCCATACACAGTTCAAAAGTCAATAGTAACAGGAGGCTGGTGGCTACTGCACTGGACAGCCTGGTACTGAACAGGTCCAGCACTGCACACAGTGTCCCAGCTTACTCAGCTCTGGACTGAGGCCTGAAAGAGGATTAAAATGGTCCCAGTTCTCAAGGAATTTACAATAAGTCATCTTTGTATAGTGCTACCAAGATGGAGTGTGACGTTTGAAGAAAACACAACACGTCTGGTGATGATCCTTGAACGTGTGCTTATGACTTGGAATTTATTTTATGGCTTTCCTGAACTGCAACCAAGTGACTAGACAGTACTGTTTTTCTAATTGCTCCATAACTTCTGGGATACATGGTTGTTGGCCCCAGGAGCTCTTTGGCCACTTGACAGGAGATTTCTGTGTACATACACACTCGACGTCATCCAGTGCTGTTTTCTCTCACTGAAGAGACTTGGATTGGATAAGGAATTATGAATCTGTAAGTCAGACAATGAGACCATTAGTCTCTTACTCAGAAATTTATTTTCATTCATAGATTCTCCCTGGGTAGTGTCGTAGATTACACACACACACACACACACTTGTAAAAAAAAGAAACCTCGTGTCCTATTTTATTTTGTCTTTTTATGTCATCATAATCTGATGGCTAGCAGGGCTATTGACATATATTACCATTATCAAAGAAGAAATGATGTAAGAATCATAAGGGTGGTTATCAAAATTCTCCTTGGTACTTAAAGAACAGCCATTCCATAAAGTTACTAAGGACCACATGGACAATTGTCTGAGACAGAAATGGGAGGAGGGCGGATTCTATCTTTAAAAATGTGGGGTCTGGCATGGTGGCACACGCCTGTAAATCTCAACTACTTGAGAGGTGGCGACTGGGAGGATCATGGCTTGAGGCCAGCCCAGGCAAAAGAAGTTAGTGCAAGACCCTATCTCAACAAACAAACAAGGTTTGTAATCTGTAATCCCAACAACATGGAAGACATAGATAGGACGATCTGCAGTCTGAGACTGAGAAACCTTATCTGAAAAATAATTAAAGCAAAAAAGGACTGAGGACGTGACTCAAATTGTAGAGCACCAGCCTGGATAGCAAACATACAGACTTGAGTTCAAATCCAAGTACCTTTCCCTATCCTCCCCCCCCAAAAAAAAGAAAGAAAATGAAAATATGGAGGTTTTGTTTCAAATGATCCCTGCAATGGAAACTATTGGTTAATTCCAAATGCCAACGATATATTGTCTCATACAGTCTTCGTATTTGAACCTTCAGATACTGGTGTTTTCTGCTTGGTAGAAACTAGGCATAGCACAATCCTGAGCACCAACAGAGAAATCCTGCTATTGTTTAGCCTTAAGCTATTTAAATTTTTCTAAAGACCAATAGTGCAATTCCTCAAAGATAAATATGTATTTACTTATGTGTATACCACAAATCAAACAGATCAGACATGGTAACGTGCAAACAGCTGGTCGCAGCTGTAGGAGAGTCATTCATTCTGGGATTTTTCTCATGTCAGCAGCTCAGAAATACTCATGGTATCCATCAAAATACTTCTATTATGAATGAATTAGAATCTTGGCTCAGAGGAGGCAAGTAGAGAAGCTAAAGCCACTGAAGCTCTCCATTGATGCTTGAGAATGAGAACCAATGTCCTTGTCAATGTCCTATTCCTGTCAAATGGGGTCATGGGAGGAAAGGAGGACTAATTGGTTTCCTGTCAACTTCCATTTTTGCTCATACTATTTCTATGACAGAGTTCCCAGTAGTCTCTCTGGCCAAAGGATGACTCCTACTCATGCTGCTAAGTTGTCTAGTGACAAATTCACAGACATAGCTAATATACCAAAGGATTAAAGCAATGAAATAATGCTGATGTTCAAGTTCCTCTTTTTGAAACATGGGCTCCTCAACCTGTCTCTATACTTCAATTCTTATTTCCATCAACTCCGCTCACAGACTCAGTTTATAGACTCTGTGTGGCTACATAGTTACGAGTGATTGAAATAATAACTTTCTTCATTACAGTCCACATTTGTTGGGGAGTTATTTTCTGTTAGTCAAAGGCAGCCATTTTCTGCTTCCAGTTCCTTGGGAAGGAGCCTGAAAGGCCAGCTTGCCAGCAGACTGGCATCTTCTGAGGAATGTGCAAACCATGCCTGCATCTGCCCTGTGACACTTAACCCAGTGTCTCTGGGCATTTCAGCAGTTGTTCAGAAGGCTTGGAGTGTTTATCTCCCACAGGCAGCTGAGCTGCCTCCTGTTTCATGAGCAGAGCAGTGGAATGCAGTGGAAGAGACCCAGACCTCTGGCCACCCAGAGTACAGAGTTTGGTGCTGAGGTCCCTATATGGTTGTGTTAGACTGAACGACCAGATCCAGTCTGTCTTTACTCCTTGTTTGGGAAGCAAGTGGGAGGGGAGCAGACCAAGGGTCTATATAACTCTTCAGCGTTCGACTTCCCTGGACACCACCCACCCAGAGTGGAGAAGCCCAGCCAAGCACCATCAGGGTAAGTGGCACCAGCCCAAGGATGTGACATAGAGATTCCAGAGGCTCTTTTATTACCTAGTGTAGTCAGGCATTGTTTGTAGGAATCTGGAGGGACTTGTTCACTCTGATATTTTTAAATGAGGATTATACTACTAAACAATTATAGCTTTTATCGCTCATGATTTAACATTAAAGACAAGCCTGACATGCAACTTGTTTTAGTAGAAGAGGTGGAGAGGGAGATGGAGTCAATTTTAATTCATGCTTGTAGCCTATAAAATCTGTTTATGCTAAACCAATGGCCAGGATCCTGTAGTCCATAATAGGGGTGATATCTAACTCTTTGTAGTAAGTTATACATTTACTTGTATTTAGGCACTGGAAGCTCAGGGATTTGTCTATGATTCAGACTTGGTGTGGGGATCTTTCATTGAACTGTATCTATGGTACAGGTACTGAGTCTGGAAGTAGATGTTAGAAGTGAATAGAAGTCTCGTTGATTTTGCCTGAATTTGTGTATTGCTTGTGAGTTGCTTGGCTCTAAGAAAATGTGTATCTCTAGAGTAAGTAGTGCATGTGAACTTGCTTGTTAGGCTCTGCATCATTGGTCATTTGCAGCAGACCACAGCAACCAATTTAGTTTTTCTCTGCATAGAAGGAAGAAAAAGCAAACCTCTCATCTGACAGCTGTGTGTGTCCCAGCCAGGGAAGGTCTGGTTTGCATTTCTCTCAGACTCAAGCTCCTCACAGCCTGGTGAGGCAAATGTTACTATGGAGCCAGCTCTGCCATCCCAGGCTGGACCTCGCTGTAACAAGGGACTGGGCAGTTTTAGCTGGGACTGGAGTTTTCAGTCTGAGATTTTCCTTCCATTTTCTGACTCATGACTAAATATGGTTTGTGTTTCAAGATGAACGAGCTGGGAACTATGCTGTCTTTTTCCCCTCCCCTCCCACTAACTACTCATTTTTGGCACAAGATGTATTCTACTGACTGGAGCAAACCCCTTGACCCGGGTGAAGTTCCAAAAGCAGACACTGGAGCAAGAGAGTTTTACCTAATTAGGAAATGCTTTGCTCCAAACCAAGCTGCTCATTCAGGTTAGATAAGAGTTGGAAATACTGAGCCAGCTCCCTCCCTGGACACACAGAGACTTTTTTCTTTAATAACAGTGCTCCTTTTAGAGATTATGAAATTCTTCCCAGACATTTTTTTGCCAAGTACAAATATGTTTACTAAATTTTGAGATTTTTTTTCTGCATTTTTGTTCATGCTGGTCTAGCATATATGAAGTTCTTCTCTGGAAGTTCTGCATATTTGAGATGGTGCAGCCTTGATTTTGTGGAAATGGTCTGGCTGAACTCCAATTGTAAGACTTACTTTCTTTTCCTATCTCCCAGAAGTTTCCTTTAAAGAATTTCCCTTTCTACCTATGTATGGATCTGCAATGAAAATCTGGGCTGGGAATGAGGCACTTGGCTACCATGTGCAATATACCCTATATTTTGATCCCCAGCACCACAAAAAAGAATAAAAGAGAATCTTGCTCAACTTGAAATCCTAAGTGAGATCTCAGTACCATCAAAGCCAGTTAGAAGACCCTAAGCATCCTTCTCTTCACAGAACATTTCTATCTAATTCTGTTTGGAGAAATGGAAAGAATACTGGACTGAGAGTCAAGGGTTGGGGGTGGGGACTCTGATTCCAATGCCCTGTATACTGGTTAACAAATCACTTCCTCTTGGATTTCTCACTTGTAGAAATCAGAGCTTCAGATGAAACTGTTCTCTTATTGGAGATCTTCAATTACACCATTTGTAATTTGATGTATCTGGTTCAGCTTTCCCAATTTTATCAAAGAATCCAAGCTTAAATAAGTGGATTATTTAAAATATTGTTTTATAAGCAAAGGGGTATGTGCTCTTGACATAACTAAAGAAGATAACTAAAAACACCCATCACTTCAAAATAATCCCAGTCAATATCTTAGTAAATAAGTAATCTTTTTGCATAAAATCCATTTTAATGGGATCATTCAGTGCTACATTCTCTAAATTATTATTCTTAACTAAGAATGTGTTGAGAGCTTATCCTTTTACTTATCTTTCTTAATAGCAGCAAATATTCTACTACTTGATGTGCAAATCATCATACTCATCTTGCTGATTGGACTTTTATTTAACAGTGACTTTTGCTAATGAAAAATAATTGTGACCTCTAAATGTTAAGAACTATTTCAGAAAACTTTGTCTCATTTTAATGTTTGAGAGCAAAAATCTTCTGTATCCAAAAGAGATTTTTCTTTTAAACATATACATTCAGCACTTAAACACTTAAACATTTCTAAATTTTCAATGCTGCCCATCACTCAAAATTTACCTTTTTGAAAAAAATTTAAAAAGTTATAACATATCTGAAAAGAAATATGAGTTTGGGTTGATACAGACTGAAAATTCTAGTTCTTTACAATACAGCAAGCAACTTGACCCTGTGAAGATCTGGTTTAATAGTATGGAATTTCCATCTAAATGTAGAACTGTGTTCTACAATTTCTTCATTCATTTACTTGCTCAACCTGTCTTTAAAATGCTAGTAAAAACCTGTGATATGCCAGGCATTACACTGAGAGCCAGTGGAATTAACAAGGCCAGAGTTTCAGCTTGCCAAAAGTCTATAGCCTAATGAAAATACTTTAAGATAAAGGATGTGTTAAATTAGAGTCAGGAGAGCCTTCAGCTAGAAGAACAGAGGAGAGGCCCCAAGTCCAGTACAGAGATAGGAGTGGTCAGGTAAGTGCTTGACAACTCTGTTACAGCTGGGGCTGCTTCCTCTTGTTTTCTGTAGAACCCTGTAAAGCAGCTATAGCTATGTGTGAAGAAGAGGACAGCACTGCCCTGGTGTGTGACAATGGTTCTGGGCTCTGTAAGGCCGGCTTTGCTGGGGATGATGCTCCCAGGGCTGTTTTCCCATCTATTGTGGGACGTCCCAGACATCAGGTAAGCAAAATTCTTAGTGAAACAGAGAGCAAGGCTATTGAGTGGATCCCTCTATGTGCATGTGTATCCATTGAGTGTCTATTGTCCTTTACCCAGAAGTTATGCAAACTTGTGAAAAAATATTTCTATGCTGGATTGGGGTGTAGCTCAGTGACAAATGCTTACTTAGCAAATGCAAGGTCCTAGGTTTGATGTCCAGCAAAAATGCAAAAGAAAATACGATATATATTATATGAAAATTTGATATGTACATATATATTTGTCTGTGGTGAAAGTCCAAAAGTAATTACTTTTAGACTCTATATTACTCTATATTACTCCATAAAATATATAGATTATTTGGTGGGTGATTATCAGATATGAAGTTTGCCCCTTTTTCAAATATCCTTTTTGTCTAAATATCATCATCATCATCACCAAAAATACAAGTTATCCTGATGCAGTGTGGAACTAACCACTAGGAACCAAGTATCAGTGTTTATTTGTACATGTAATGCTTATGATAAGAAAATAAAATTCATATGCTTTTGGGTGGGTGACAATTTTAAAAGTATTGTTTAATTAATTTTCAAGAGGAAAATGGCATTTAAGTGGCATGTAAAATTTCATACCTTCTTTCGGATATTGTTAGGAGCCAAAACTGTGCTAGACAATTTGCTAGAGTGATTAGGACAGTCATGATCTCTGCCCTAACACAGCTCATCAAAGAACACAGGAGATAAAAAACAGTGTAAAGCTACCTCTCTCACTCATCTCCTGCAATCTGGAGGCTGATTCAGGTGTATTTCCAATCAACTAAAGGAGTGACCATAGAGACAAGACAACTCATTACATTGTTGCTATTACCAAAAGAGGAACTTTTTATTCATTGATTTAAGCCCTTTGTGATTTGATTGTAATCAACGCACAAGCTTTGGGGGAGGCTGACATGTAATATGTTGAACCTTTTTAGGGTGTGATGGTGGGAATGGGACAAAAAGACAGCTATGTGGGGGATGAAGCGCAGAGCAAAAGAGGAATCCTGACCTTGAAGTACCCGATAGAACACGGCATCATCACCAACTGGGACGACATGGAAAAGGTACCAGGACATTTGCTACAGGTTGAGTTCTCAGAATGCAAAATTCCAGTGGCCTCTGATTCAAAATAACATGTTGCAACATGCTTCTGTGGGAAAAATAACTGGCTTCCATTGTTCACTCGCACTTTTATCTATTAATACTTATTCTGGATTATTATTCACTGAAAAAACAATGGTGGGATTTCTTTTTTTTAAAGGAATACCTTTCCTATCAGTGTTTATAAACTAATTAGAGGGAGATAGTTCTGTAGATTAGATGAGAGCCCTTTGCTTGTGGTGGGAATTAATAGTCTAACGCTCACATCAGCCAGACCGCCCTCTAGGATGGAGCACCTCATGATTGTCAGCCCATAGAATGGACACTCTGTGCTCATTAGTTGCTACATGGCTACCAGGTGCAATTTGGCTAAAGAGGAGTTGAAACACTGGGAATGACTTTAACCAGTCCATTCTCGAAAGTTTTTCATTAACTCATCCTGAGCAGTTTTTTCCGTTACTTGTTTTGTAAGATTTTTTAGTCTTCACAGTTGAAAAGGGAAGTATAACACTGTGGATTTTCCTGAGAGGTCCTCAACAATCATAGCTGATGAAGTTTTAAAATAAATTTTTAAAAAATTGTCTGTGTGTTACATTAAGTAAAATCTTATCTCTCAGGTATTTATAGAAGAGCTAATGAAGAAAATAGATGACGCTAGGATCTTAATGTTTGTTCTTAGGCATGTTGGAACTAGCAGTAGTCAGAGAAATTGCAGAAGGAATGATGGGAAGAAAGTGACATAAAGTTTTAGATGCAACAAAATGTATTAGAACCTTAGGTGTGGTTAATCTGACTCTGGGTTGATGAGACTGCAGTTTGCTCTGTGGAGAAGACATTAATATCAATGAGAAAATTCTCTTTAAGGGTTTCTTCAGAGAGCCCATGGCATTTTGGGATGGATGCATCCTGTTGAGAGATTATTAGGATGAAAAAAAATCCTCATTTCTAACATCTAAATTCGAAGTATATCCTGGAGAGGAGAGGGACAGGGAAGGAGAAGGGAGGTAGGGAGTGGGGGGAGAGGGATATAGAGATGTAAGGAGGAAAGGATTGGATGTTTCAGGATAACCATAATATATAAAATGTGACTGGCTGGGTTTTTTGAGTGCTCATTTGTCTTTACATTTTAAACAAGAGTTGTGGCTGGCGCCGTGGCTTAGCTGGTTAAAGCACCTGTCTAGCAGTAAACAAGAGTTGTTATCCAATAGAACTTGTAGTTGACAGACTGAGGGTGAAGGTCTTGTCTTTGGGAGCAGCCACCCACTCATCCTCACTCTGTTCCTGAAGAATGATGAAGTCAGTTCCAAGGTTCCCAAACCACACTGCCCAGTTCTGCCCTTTCTTCACTTTATCCCATCAAAGGAGCAGCACATCAGGTATCTTCTTTCAGGAAACCACAAATTCAAAAACAAGGAAACTAGAACAAGATAGAGTCTTAAAAGTACTTCTTAGTGTTGCTAATTTGTAAACTTTCCTCAGCCATTCTTGTTTTATTGTTTTAATTTCAGGTGAATCTAGTATTCCTGGTGCTGGTGGAGAACTTCATGCTATTAAAGACTAATTCATGTAGCCTTTTTTACAATCATGTTTTCTTTCTGGCATCCAGGGATTAAAGAGGTGCTCAGCTGTAATCCTAGCTACTAAGAAGGCAGAGATCAGGAGGATGGAGGTTCAAAGCCAACCCAGGCAAATAGTTCTTGAGACCCTATGTAGAAAAAACCCATCCTAAAAAAGGGATGGTGGAGTGGCTCAAGATGTAGGTCCTGAGTTCAATTCCCAGTACCAGGAAAAAAAAAAGAGGGTGCTCAACCACAACCATAGAGCAGAGTACATCCACACAAATACATCACAGACAGACAGGCACAGGCAGTTTTGGAAACATCCGAATGCCAGATGTCTGGCCCTGAGTGGAAAGTCAAGACTGTGCCAACAGAGGCTGTTTCTCCAGACTTGGAGTGCAGAGGCAGGTGGAAGCCAGAGGCAGGAGGCTTGTTCTCTTCTCCGAGTACAAAGGGCAATTTCTCTAGAAGCATTAAAAGTGACAATTAGGTTTTCAGGTGAGCTTCATTTGTTCATTTACATATGCACTCATTTGTCCCTTCATATACTAAACTAAATCATTCTCCCATGATTTATTAACTAAAATGGAAGGAGAGGGTAATGAACATAGAGATAAATAATAATAACATTTATTTTGGACTGGGTACTGGGCTGACTAGTAACTCTAGGGTAATCTTATTTGATTGCACAAAGACCCAATGAGGTATACTAATCATTTTAATCTTCACATTACCTGTAGTGAGACTGAAGCTAAGAAGAGTTAAAAACTTGCTAAGCTTACACAGCCAAGAAGTAGCAGAGCTGAGGTTTGAGCTCACATTTGATGAGAGCCTGTGTCTTTGACCACTATGCCATCCTGCTTCACAGTCCTGGGTTTAGGACTTTGCTCAGTCACTTGCTGGATGTGAATCCTTATGCAATGCATTCACACTCGGAGCTTCAGTGTCTGCATCTTCCAGACACGGGCACATAAGAGGACTGGTGACATTTCATTTGGTCCTGGTTTTGTTTAGCCTATTCTGGTTCCTTTTCAGGATCTGCAGTGCTCCACAACATCACACATTGTGTTTCTCCTCTTTTCCCTGCTTGCTAGATCTGGCACCACTCCTTCTACAATGAGCTCCGTGTTGCCCCTGAAGAGCATCCAACCCTGCTCACTGAGGCACCCCTAAACCCCAAGGCGAACCGGGAGAAAATGACCCAGGTAAATATTCACTCCAGCATCTAGCACTGCTGGGTTTGGGGAAAGGCTGTTAGAATGGGGCTGTGCAGGACAGCTACGAGAAGGCCCCATTCAGCAGTCCACCAACAGACTGACCACTTTCCCTAAATTTGGGAACTCCAAAGGATAGGGATATCTTAATGGCATGCACATTCTTACTGAAAAAAACAGGCCTTGTACCTCCAAGAGCAGTAGGCAAGGTAAAAGATTTAATTGAGGATGGGACATGGTTAAGGTAGAAACTTGTAATGAGAAGTCATTTGAAAATGCATTTTAACATATATAGTAGGAATTAGGTTCTGCAATGTGACACATCTAGGTTTGAAATCTGGATCTGTCATTTATTGGCTACGTAAAGAGCCCACTTACTTTCTGAGAACCTCAGTTTCCTTGCCCACTATTTGGGAATAATATTAACATTATTTTTCAAAGAACTGGCATGAAGACTAACAATGCAAAATGAGTATCATGATATAACTATCTAACAAGTAACAGTTCCTATTGTCCTTAAATCCTAACAACATGAAGCAGAAACTATCATTATCTGATTGTTTAAATGAAGAAATCAGGGCCCAGGTGCAATAAGTGATTTTTGTAAGTTCATACAGCTAGAAGTGGCAAAGCTCAAAATGGTCTTTTGTCCCTGGAGAGTTATAACTGTAAATCCTGCAGAGCCCTTTCCTCAGAAGAGTTCTTGGTGCTTACATCAACACACCTGCAGTTCTTCTCCTCAGGACAGCATCCGTGGGTCAGGGAATCACTCCACCAGCAAGTGTTGCTGTTTCTGATGACAGTTATTGTTCCTGTTTATTGTGTGAAGGCCATCAAATGGTTGAGAATTATGATTGCCTAGCAAACGTCAAACATTCTGCTCCATAAACTAGGGAAGGTCTTCCAGATGGAGAAGTGAAGGGCCTCGGACATATTCCAAGGCATGAATGACCTGGAGTGGCTCTGGTTCTAATCTTGACCTTGAACTGCTTGAGTTGGGGCAGTGGCACTCACATGTGGCTGTCTGACACCAGAATGCACTTCCTGTCTGCAGGAATCAGATCCCCCCACCACAGCAAGAGCAGCCTGATTCCAGGGCCAGAATTGACTCAACAATTGCATGAAAAAGCAGAGCAGATTGAATGGAACCTCAGACAGATCACAGAATCAGGGCTATTCTCAACCATTCTGAGCACTGGGTTTAGAAGTTCTCTTTATGTCAGAGAAATCAAAACCTGAGTATTGTTATTTTCTTTTGGTTTTGTTATAGTTAATAAGTTTTAGACTGTCTACCCTGAGAGCTAATCTAGTCCAAATCCTTCCTTCAGTTATAGCTGAGTGACCTGGAATAAAGCTCACATCAATCGACTACTAGTTCAGTGAAATTATGCCAGGTCACATTCAAGTCAGGACTGGGTCTAGGACCAGAAGCTAGACTCTCTGTGCCTTTGGCTGGGTCCTGTGTGCACACTGCTTCTTTCCCTCCCTATCCCATCAGAACACCAATGTGATGGTCTCTCCATTCCACCTTCATTTCATCTCTTTGAGTGACCTGGGCAGCCTTGGCTCTCCTTTACACTGTTCTCTTCTGCTCAGAGCCAGGCAGGCCCATCTGCATCCAGCAACAAAATGTGCTCTCTTGAACATTTTTTGTAAGATTGCCAACATCACTCACTTAGCTGTTTGGATTGCTTTCAGATCATGTTTGAGACCTTCAATGTCCCAGCCATGTATGTGGCTATTCAGGCGGTGCTGTCCCTCTATGCCTCTGGACGTACAACTGGTAAGTGACTAGGAAGAGTGGAAGCCTTAATTAAATGACTATAGCAGAAGATATGGGATTCGGCAGTTATAAATGTGTGGATTGTGACAGACAACGGGTGAGTTAGAATTGACAGGGCTGATCTCAGACCTTCTTACCTTTTTAAAATAAGCCCAAGTCTTCTTATTTCTAGCCAGATCCTCCCCAAGTCTTGTGCAACTTTATCTCTCCTATGAAATGGCCTTTTTCTTTCTTCAAACAAGAGACTTAAGAATCCCCTCTTCCCCAAGAGTTCCTTCCACTAGATAAGCAAGTGACCACATGCCAGGTGCTGTGGTGACTTTTATCATCACCAATTATCCCCCAGGCATTGTGCTGGACTCTGGAGATGGTGTCACCCACAATGTGCCCATCTATGAGGGCTATGCCCTGCCCCATGCTATCATGCGTCTGGACCTGGCTGGCCGAGATCTAACTGACTACCTCATGAAGATCCTGACCGAGCGTGGCTACTCCTTTGTGACTACTGGTGAGGCCTGTGGGAGACAATGGGAAGGGCGTGGAGGACAGTGTGTTATTCACAGCAATTTACAGTACCCTGTGATTATCTCAGAAGATGATGGGATGGAGACTTGCCAATGGCAAGGTCTGACTATTGCACACAGCAAAGAACAGACTTTTTTTTGCTATGTGAAATTGCAAACTCATCATATTGTTTCCTTGAGGGAACAGTTACAGTTGTTGCATCATCTACTGTAGTGAGCTAGCAAGAGGTGGGGTATTTTTGTATGTGTGTGTTCTTTGCTGCGCTGCAGATCAGATCTTGTGCCTACTAGGCAAGTGTTCTCTCACTGAGCTACACCCTAGTTGAGTATTTTTAAATCTCCTGCATTAGCAAATAGAAAAAAAGAACATGAAGAATCCGAACATATAATGGTGTAGTCATTGGCAAATTTTGTAGACATCTAAATAGGATTTGAATCCCAAATCTTACCCACTAACTGTGTGACTTTGGACAAATTTACCAACCTTGCTAAGCCACAGTCTCTTCATCTATAAAATGAAAATAATCATGGATTTCATCTCCCATGATTATTATGAGCATGAAGTAAGATAATGTATGTGGAATACCTGGCATACTATAATCATGCAATAATTGTTGGCTGTTATTAAAACAAACCCAGCAGGCAGGTACATGTGTCTTTAGTCAGTGCCGGTGTCATTCCACAAGAGAGCAGTGTCACACATTGTTTGAAACAGGATAACATCAGTGCCAATGCCTCTAGCTACCTGCACAACCTCAAGAATTTGGCATTGGCCAGTGTTTCAGGTTTCTGGACATGCCTGAGACTTGTCCTAGGCTCTGTGTGTGAGCCCTGATGATTTTTTGCGGTATGAAGTTGAATTAATTTCATTCTTGCTTCCCAAAACACCTTCAAAAGACTCCCAGGGGCTCCAATGTAAACAATAGCTTAGAACATCACAGCACAGGACTCTTAAGGCAACTGTCTGCCCACTTCTTCCATATCTTCTTCTGTATGTGCTGGTCCTAAACCAGCAACCTGCTCTTTCTGAAAACTGCTGAGTGTGCCAAGGGTTTGAGCAGCAGTCTATCTAGGTCAGGCACCAAGCTTCTCAGGCTTTTAGAAAACTCTAGTTCCAGAAGAGTTGACTTAGTATAAGACTGAAGTGGGCAGGTGGATCTTTAGCACCTGTGCCAACCCTGACTCTGCCCTATGTTTGTTTCTTCTTGACAGCTGAACGTGAGATTGTCCGGGACATCAAGGAGAAGCTGTGCTACGTAGCTCTGGACTTTGAAAATGAGATGGCCACTGCTGCATCCTCCTCTTCCCTGGAAAAGAGCTATGAGCTGCCTGATGGACAGGTGATCACCATTGGCAACGAACGCTTCCGCTGCCCAGAGACCCTGTTTCAGCCGTCTTTCATCGGTAGGCAGTAGGGAGGGGAGTCATCCTATTCTTCTGTCTCCAGCCAGATTTGGTTACCAGGGTCCTTCTACAAGTGGAGACCTATGTTAGAAGCCCAAGACCAAAACCATTTCTAAACTAGGGAAAGTGAATGTGTCACATTTTCAAGATGAGAAAATTTAAGGAGTTTTCTTCCTAGGAAAACATTCTACTTCGTATTCAAGTAAAGAAAATTATGGGCATATGGTGAAAAATAAATATTGCCTGTGCTTAGGACAGAATGGAGTCACAGGGATGGTTGTGGAAGATGTGCTGAGAGTTTGGGAATGGTGGGGCAAAGAAAAATGGAGGAGCAGGGAGTCTGTCCCACATTAGCATTGACTTTGGGAAAACAGGTTGCATAATTGTTTACAGAGGCAAGCTCTTGGGGCTGAGTTTGAGACTTTGCTCTTTGGAAAATCCCCAAGCCTTAGTTTCCATGTATATAAAATGAAGATTGTAATAGTACCTATGTAGTAGGTTAGCTTAGTCCGGTGCTTGGCACAAAGAAGCCTTAATAATTATGCATTGTTGATAATTAGTAATTACACAGAATTATAATTACTATTAGTTTATGCCTCTAGGGTCATCTAGGGGTTTTCCCCAAAAGATCCACATCAGAAATTAACAAAAAAAATCAGATAAAATATTACCAAGATTAAAAAATTAGTCTTTGTTCAAATAGGGCAAAATGTTTTTCGGAAGATTCAACACCATTCCGCTTTAGAAGGAATGCAAGGCAGCTGCGACAGACAGGAGGGAGTTCTGAGCAATGGCTGTGACATTGACCTAGCATGGAACCTAGGAATCTGGAAGCTTTGTCCTTTTTTTAAGCCATACATAGCAGAATCTGTTTTTAAAATATCCATGCTAGCATGGCTTCCTCATTACATGGGAGGCAGGAGGACATGGACCATGGGTGGTTTCTAGATTATTATGCCTGCCTAGCCTCATCAGTGTAAGGTAATCCAGTTGCTCAAATCTAGTTTTCTGTGTCGAACCTGAGTTTTATCCACCACACAAGAACCATGGTTTGTGTCTCTCTTCTAGGGATGGAGTCAGCTGGCATCCATGAAACCACCTACAACAGCATCATGAAGTGTGACATTGACATCAGGAAGGATCTCTATGCTAACAATGTCCTCTCAGGGGGCACCACCATGTACCCAGGCATTGCCGACCGGATGCAGAAGGAGATCACAGCCCTCGCACCCAGCACCATGAAGATCAAGGTATTGTTCAATGATAGACCCATGGCTGTACTACCAGCAATGCCAACGCTATACGCAGATGTAAAGGACTATCTGAGGGCATATCTTGGTCACATATACTCATGTGTTGTAGATGTAAGTAGTGGGTAAAAATCCACACGTTCCATACTTTATATACAATTCAATCCACTTCACAAGGGAATCTGCATTATCTTATACAAAATTTGATATATATTTACCTTGTTCATCAACAACTTCCAGTAGCTGCAATCAAGGACAACAGAGCTCCCCATGCATCCATAGCTCTTTAGAACATTTATTTTGTAGTTTTTCCTTATCACAAAAATAGTTTATCTTCCTTGTAAAACATTAATAAGGCTGAACCAGACATTTCTAAAGCAGTTTAAACCCTGTAGATTTAATAGTTTCACTATTAAATGTGACCACATCTCAGTGGGCAGAAATTAAAGTTCTTTCTTCATCTCTCTGTCTGGCACCCCTTTTGATACAGTTGTTCAAAAGCACAGAATGACTCCAGCATAACCAGACTCATTCCCTGAGCTACCCAGGGTTCATCTATATGGTGTGCATTTTGAATTTCAAGTAAGAGAACTCAAAGATTAAATGGAGATTATTCCTCTGAAGAGATGCTTATCTGTGGCTGGTGACTTGTCAAAAGGCTCTTATCACTCTCTAAGATCAGATGACCAAGCTGAAACGCTCTGACCCAGAAAGGGTCTGTCGCAGAAAGAAGAAGGGGCAATTTTAGTGCAGGTCACACACATGAGAGGCACTCAAACAAGTTCTCTGTTCTTTGCACTCTTTCATCTATTTTTTTTCTCCAAAATAAGCCCTGCTTTAAAAGAGTCAATAAAGAGAGGGCAGAGAGTGTTGTTTTCTGAAGGGCTTGTGTTTTTTGAATGCTTGTCTGATGAGCTTGCATTCCCTCTCAACCCCCGCCACACACGCAATGCTTGTCTGATGAGCTTGCATTCCCTCTCAACCCCCGCCACACACGCACATACACACACACACACACACACACACACCACACACACACAATGGAGGGAGGGGATGAAGCCAGCCCTTGGGCACTCTGCACAGCCAACCTAGCTGAGGATATAAAACAGAAAGAGGTTGCAGTTAGAGTTAGGCAATTCCCAGTTCTCCACTTCTTGAATAGAAATGAAACTCCAGGTCCCATTGTGGTGAGAGAGGAAGAGAACCATTAAAACCTGGAATACTAGGATGACATATTTAGTGAAAATGAAACTGGGTGAGGTGTTTAGGGAACTCCCTGTACTATCTTTGCAACTTTCATAGAAACCTAAAATTATACTTCCAGCCACCAAAAAAGTTTATTTCTAAAACAAAACAAAACAAAATAATTGGGAGCTCCCAGATTTGACTATGAGACCTGACACTAATGTGATTAAATGTGACCAGTTACTTATACTTCTCTCAGTCTGTTTCCTCACCTGTAATATAGGAAAAATTTAATATTTACTCTTCAAGATGGTTATGAGAACTAAATGAGAAAGTATATGTGAACTACTTAGCACAAGTCTGATACACAGTAAGAGCTCAGTTAGTGTCAGCTATTTGCATTAAGAAACAATAAATGTTCAACCAGAGTTTGGGGTAAACAGAAAGTCAACCCTTTAACCACAATTTCAGGAACACCCAGTCTGTTGGCTGAAGTGCCCATTGCTGCGCAAGAATCCACATCGGGAGTGGAATTTGGCATTGCTCAGCTTTAGCTCTTTTTTGAGTTGCTGCAGGTGGATAAACCCTTGGCCTGACGCACTGCTCTGTGTCTGAGCCATTCATTTACTGAAGAAGCATAGCATTATCTTGTAAGTTAGGCCTGGGCCCTGGGTATGGCATTAATGGGACCCATGCCAGGGGAACGTTCATTCCAACTGGAGACTCCGAGTCCCCTGGTGGCAGACAGTTTTAGAGAGCAGCCATCAACTTGATCAGGTAGAAGAACAGTTGTGTAGTCAGTTCTGACACAGTCTACTCAGAAAATGCTCATGTTTGTTTCTACAGTGAGAGGGTCATGCTGAGCTCTGAGGCTACTTTGCTAAATGAGAGGCTTTGTCAGGGCTCCTTTGTGGAGGCCACCACAGCCCTGTCACCCACTTTTAGTTTGCTCAATGATGTGTGGAGGAGTTAGGGATGGTTTGGAATAGATTGAATGAAAGAAGCCAGAAAAACAAATGTACTCACGGAAGGATCTCTAAACTCATGGCTCTTCACTGCCCCTTGTCATCTAACAGCAAGTAGTGTCCCTACTACATTAAAAAAAAATGCACCAAGTCTAGGAAATTTGTGTCATGATAGGGCACCCAGGCACTGCTTCATGGCACTAATGCCCTTTCTTTCTCACACTGATCAACAGATCATTGCCCCTCCGGAGCGCAAGTACTCTGTCTGGATTGGTGGCTCCATCCTGGCCTCTCTGTCCACCTTCCAGCAGATGTGGATCAGCAAACAGGAGTATGATGAAGCTGGGCCCTCCATTGTCCACCGCAAATGTTTCTAAGACACCTCCCTACTCTCTGTCTTATCTCTATCACACAACTGTGAATGTTTCTGTGCCTTCATTTCCTTTCCAAATCATTCCTAGCCAAAGCTCTGCCTTGTTACCTATGTGTTTTTTAATAAATCTGAAATATGCTACCTGTAACCTCTAGCCTTGGCCTCTGATCAACATCTCCCTGATCACTTACTTCTCTTAGGTTGACCTCATCCATTACACGTTGACTCCCTCTAGTGTCCATGAAGGACAGGACATCACTAAGTTGGGCATGCTTGCCAGTCAATGGTTAGCTTACATTAACATGGCAAGCTCCACCTAACTGCTGTAACGAGAAGATGAAAAAATAAAGGGTGTGACTAGGAAAACCCACACTGACTTCACAACTTCCTGAGAGATTATATTACTTTACAGTCTTGTAACTCCAGTTCTGATAGACTGCTGAAGACAAAACCAAGAATCTTGTATACATTTAAAATTTTGTAAACAATTGTATTTATTAAAATCATATCTTTTATAATAAAACACACATATATGCATGCATATGCATGTGTGACTCTTAACATACAAGGTGTCACTTATTTTTTGGCCATACTAGGGTTTGAACTCAGGGCCTTGTGCTTGCTAGGCAAGCATTCTACCATTTGAGCCACTTGGATTTTTAATTTATTTTTCAGATAGCGTCTTGCACTTTTTACCCCAGACTGCATCAGCATACCTGATAATCCTCATACCTTGCCTCTCACTTAACAGGATTACAGTTGTGAATCACTACACCAATTTGCTTTTTGAGATTGGATCTCATTAACTTTTGCCTGGGCCGATCTCAAATGTTGAGATCCTCCCATCTCTGCCTCCTGCATAGCTGGGACTACAGGCATGAACCAACATGCTCAGCCCAAGGTATGACTTTTGATATGTATTATACATTAAACCTATTTAAAGAAGATGTAACTTTTAAGTTTATTGGGTTTTAAAACTTAGATTGGAAAAAACACTGCTTTAAAATCTCACTGTACACCTTGACCATTTGTCTTCCTTCTTTTTGTCAATAGTTGTCTCTATGAAGGATGTTATGGATATATTCACACCAGGAGGGATGGGAGAAATGGAGACACTTTCTAGGAATCAGTGGTGTCAATCATCACACAAAAGATTTTGTACACATCTCCAATTTGTTCTTCAGAAGTGTGAGAAAGTATCATCAGTCTATTTTATAGATAAGGATACTGAGGTTGCTGCAGAATGGTAATTATATAAGAGAGCTACCAACTTCATCTGTCCCTTTGCCCACCTGGCCTGGGAGGTAGAAGTACAAAGATGTAAAAAGTCACCTTCTCTGCCCTGGGGTCTCAGTCTTTTCTGTCTAGATTCTTCCCTTCCTCAGGAGTCCCCCAGCTACAAGCTGCTTGTCTTTTATGAATGACCAAGCTGAGACAGCCGTCAGTTGTCCTGAAATGTGAGGAATGCTCTATTTATGACAGCACCTCACAGCAGAGATCCTGGGGCCCAGGAGTCATTGCCTGTTTGGTCCAGAAAAACCAAAACTTTCCTAGTCTGCTTTGATCTTGTAGCCCAGTAGAAAGAATACTGCATGACCAGATGCCGTGTCGCCGTCTTTGTTTTAGAATGTCTTACCCTACAAGAGTCCCATAGATTTGGTGTTGCCACTGCCTTCTTACAGATGAGTGACTAAGTCTTTAAGTGGTAAGAGAATTGTACTGTCATGGTCCTGGCAGAGGTGATACTAGCTTGCAGTACTTGAGCTTGGCTACAAACCCACATTCTTAAATGTTAGCCCAGCATTTCCCAAACTACTGGCCACACAGGCCAACCTCATCAGGGCTCCTTTTGAATGTGCAAATTTGTGGGCACATTCAATCTCCACTAAAATAGAAGTTCTGGAGCTGAGGCTAGGGACTTAGTTTTAATCAGACTTCCCGATGATTCTTAGGCACATCTAAGTGTGAGAATCACTGTGATATGATGGAAGGAAATTTTCCACCTACAAATTCATGCTTACTGGCAAGGGCATTACATAGCCACTAGACTTTAATTCAGGGATTAGTGTACAGCTACTGTGACCATATCATCATTTACTTGCAAATTTTCATAATTTAGGCAAAATCCACCAATCGCTCCCGTTATCACCACAAGGTTCACTTGGAAATAACAGATCCTTTGTAGGGGCTGTATTTCATTTTTACCACTAGATGGCACACGATCTCAAGAAGAGTCCATGTTTGGCATAGTGTATCAAAGAATTGGGAACAGACATGTCCTGTGGCAAAAGTCAGGAAAACCAGAACCATCCTCTGACTGACGATTGGTGAAGTGTTCATTTCATGTGAACTAACCAGCTGAAGTGACTAATCATTGTCCTCCTCTCAATCACAGAACATTCATTCCTTCCCTGGTTCCACATGATGTCCAATGGCTTGGTGGGCTGAGCTTTCCATGGGTGGCAGAGACCACTTGAGATTCACAGGGTCTCTAGAGAAGATAAGAGCAGCAACATATGCTAGGCATGGTGTCACACACCTGCAATCCCAGCATTTTGAAGGCTAAGGCATGAAGACAGAGAGTTAGAGGCTAACTTGGCTAAATAATGAGACCCAGTCTCAAACAAAACAAAGCAAATACTCCCCAAAAAAGAGAAAAATAAAACAAAACAGAAAACAAACAGCAGCAACATAGGAATGACTGTCTTCTCAATTCTCTTCTCTCCCCAAGAGCAAGCCAGACTCTAAAAGCATGGAAAACTCTTCTGTGAGCACCAATTTCCCATGACAGGCTTTTGAATTTCCTAAGAATGCTGTGAGTTTCTAATTAACATCATGCAGATTTCTCTGTGAGCAGATGTGTGGGGAGAAGCATTATTTAAAAATCATAACTTTCTGTCATCATTGTGGCATCACTTGGGCATCCAGGAAATTCTCTTTAGTACACCTTCCAAAACAGAATTGGAGAAGAATGCCTGATGGTAGAGTGAGGAGGCAGTCTGGGAAAACTCAACTCTGAAGATACTGGAACAGCCAGGATGTTGTTGTTTCACGTCAGATTGAATGATGTCTATTCCTGGGAGAGCCAGGTCAATTGAAGTGCTGACTAAAGAGCACTCATTATGAGCTGGAATAGAGAGGCATGAAGGCAATAGAACAAAGCAAAGTTCTGCATGATGGAAAATAGTCTAGTGAAGAAGACAGACATTTAAAAAAAAAAAAAGTAGACAGGGTACAAAAGAAGAAATACATGAGGTGTGTTCTCCTGTACACCAGAGCTCTAACTAATCTGAGCCAGGGCTCAGGAGAGGCCTCCTGGGGGAAGGGAATAGACTACAATGCTTGAACACTTTCAAACAATAAGGGTTAATCTGGTAATAAGTAAGTAAATGGTGTATGGAGGGTGCTGATATTGGGGAAGTCCACAGAGGGGCATACCCAGGACCGTATATGGGACATATCCAGGCAGAGTTCTGGAGAGGAAAGAGTGTGCTTCACACACGGAACTGAAAAGAGATCTCTTAAGAATTGTACCACACGTGACTTTAGAAGCATGACTGACTTGAGTACAATTCTCCAAAGTAGGATTCATGATATTTGCTCTATAAAATGTCTGTTTTGAGATCAGACACTGATTTCAAATCGTGAAATTTGGTATCTGTGGTTCACTTCCAGCTTCTGAGCATTTTATCTTACAGGTTAATTGAATTCTCTACCCTGTGTCTGGGAAATGAACATCCAAACACTCCAACCCTTCACTAATTTATACATGTAGTTACAGCTGTTCCAGAATGTTCTTGTAGCAACTTCATGCCACGCATAGGCTGAAGGGACTACAAGTGACTTTATTTGCCCGTAGGGTTTGCGATGTACACTGTCTTCAAAGAAAATTAATGAAGAAACAGGCTCCTGCATAGTTTAGTTTGTGAAATTTGTTCAGAGACCTCAGTCTCAGGTGTTTTTAAGGAGAAAAATGTTATACCATAGACATTTCTTTTTATAGTAATTTTAGATAATTTTCTATTTCTTTCTCTACACACTTAACTTTGCATCTTATTCCTCTTTTTATTGGATCAATGATTTTTGCCCCTCCTTAGATCTCCCTGCATATGCTATTACCTGTAATTTCCTAAGAAATGGGCTCAAACACATACCTGCAGGCCTTCCTTTACAAAATAGCATTACTTAGGCCAAAAACATATTAAACAGGTAAATTCTCTCCTTAAAATTTAGAACTAGCCCTTGTTCTCAAAAAAAAATCCAAAATAGTTTGTGATTTCAGATGGTATTTCAGTCATCTTTCCCCTTATGAGTACATAAACGATTGAATTTAGTGGCAAAAAAAAGAATTTTAGAGTGTTGTTACTGGAGGCTCTTGTTGGTTGTTCTCTCTTCTGTATTTCTACAAACCCAAAGACCTAACTGTCCTTGATAAAATTAAACTCTCTCTCTAAGCATAGTACTTGTGAACTTGACAAAGGCCTGAACAGGTAATCCACATAAGAAGAGTGTGATGAGGGTGAATGACCGCTGGAAGTCTCAGACATCATCATCAACTCTGTTTTATTACTATAATTTGACTTTGAAGAAATTAAGATAATTGTGGAAGGCTGTGTCACAAGCATAATGAGATACTACTTTATCTACTAAGATGGCAATAAAAATTTTAAGACAGAAAAAAGTAATGTTGGCAAGGATGTGAGAAATTGGGATACTTGTATATTACTAGTAGATTATAATATGTTCAGCTGCTGTGAATATCGCCTGAAGGTCCCTCAAAAAGTTAAACATGGATTTACCGTATGACTCAGCAATTCCAGTCCTATATATATATATATATCAAAAGAACTGCAAATAGGCTTTGGAACAAGTACATGCACCAGGTATGGTGGCACACATTTCTAATTCCAGTGCCTGGGAGACTGGGGCAGGGAGATCATAAGTTGGAGGCCATCCTGAGCTACATAGTGAGTTAAGAATAGACGGAGCTACACAGTGAGACCCTGTCTCAAAAAACCAAGGGCTAGGGGATGTAGTTCAATGATAGAGCATGAGACCCTGGTTTTGATCCCCAGCACTGGGAAAACAACAAACAGACAACAAAAACAAGTACATATAATGAATCTTTACAGCTCTCCTACTC